GAAGTAGCGGTGGGGGCTGGCCCCTCACCCCACCCGCCATTTAACTTAATAGTACACCCGTGAAGACAGGCTATGAGAGAGTCGGCATCAGCTCGATGACAGTGAGGTGAGAGGTTAAGCACCTACCGAACATATACAAAGCTAAACCCTATTCTAGACCATCCAACCTCAGCACATGTAAAATCACAGAACTCATACCTAGTGTGTTTTCTGGACCTAACGAAATTAAACAATAACCAAAGAGTAGATGGAAGCCAGCAAGTCCTGGAACATTCATAAACGTCCAGGGGTTAAAGAAAATCTCAAGGGAAACGTTTGAAAATGTGAAATTATGATTTGGATAAGAGCTGTACGAGCCCCCAATAAAATGATTTCTAAAAATTACGATTTGCAACTTAGTGCTCAGAAAGAAATCTATGTCATTAAATTCTTACAGTAGAAAAATACGGGCAAAATAAACTATAAGGAAGCAGAAGGAAGGAAGGAGTAAATATCAGAGCAGAAATCAATGGACTCGAAATCAGAACAAGAGAGAAAATCAATGGAATGAAAATCGGTGAACTGGAGTTGATCAAAAAGAAACACACTTTCTCTGTTCAGAGAGGTGGCACAAAGGGTTAAGCGCTTGATTAATGGTCAAAGGGGTGATAGTTCACCACCCCCGCCACCCCCACCAGGCCTCTGGGAAGACAGTCTTGGTCATCTGCTTCCCAAAGGTCACAGCTTAGAAATCCTTCTGGAGCAGCTCCTTCTTCTGCGTCCACCGGCCCCTTGTAAGCCCAGCGTGACTCGAAGGCAAGGGCACAGTGCGGAGACCGCAGACCGAAGCAAGCGCTGCTCCGGAGCACAGAGGGAAGAGCCAGCAGTCGACAGTGAGAAGCAAGAACAAAAGGCAAAGGCACGCAGGAGCTGCCATCAGAAAAGTCACGTAGATGGTCAACCATCAGAGACGTGCAAGTCAGTAACACACTCAGACACACGGAACGCCCTGTGGGAAGGACTGAGAAATTTTGAATGGGACAACACCAACTGCTAGCAAAGCCGCAGGGAGACTGGGTCTTGCGTACATGTCTGGTGGGGGTGTAACATGATACCCCTGCTCTGGGAAATTGCTTTACGAATGTACTTCTGGACACTTACCCTAGAGAAATGAGAACTCAGGTCTGCGCAAAAGCTGTACAGGCTTCCTCCCAGCGGCCTCCTCCATATCCGCCCCAAATGAGAAACAATCAGAATGTCTCCCCAAAGGATGATAAAACAAATGTGATATGATCATATCATGGACTATTACTTATCAATAAAACAGACCAACATGTTCACACATTCACAGCAACTTGAATGGCTCCCAACAGCAGTATGCTGAGTG